CATATTTTATATTTTATAGATCTCACTATTTTTCAACAACATAATTTATCAATTTTTATTAAAATATACTATTAATCTAATTTTAATTCTTACAAAATAGGGGCTAAATATAAAATGGCTTTTTTTTAATCAATTTTTTGGCTGTTAAAATGGTAATTGATAGTGTCGGTACTGTATTTTGAACAGTGATTTTGGAGAACGCGTGATTAAAAGGTAGGAAAAATTTCAAATTTAAGCTGTGTTTGAGCCACATTATTTTGGAAAAATGTATTTTGGAATAGTATATTGATAGAGAAAATGTGGTTGAAAAAAAATGAAAATTTTTTGATGTGATGGAAAATATTATTTTATTGAAAAATATTTTATTGAAAATGAGAATATAAATTTGAATGTGGCTCAAACAGGGATTTATGTGTATAAATAATTTATTGTTTGGACATGTGACTGAAAATTGAGTGGGAGAATTAAAAAAAAAAAGAAAAAAGAGGAAATTAGGCCCAGTAAGACCTAAAATCAATGAAATCGAATAATACGTTTAATTAATAATTTATCATCTAATCACGCAATTAATACTTCCTAAAAGCCCCAACCCCCTATTGAAACCCATTCATCATCACTTCAAAACGGGAATATATATGGAAACCAAGAAGATCTAGATCTCCCAGAGGCCCAAACACTAGCACTGATCATACCGAGCACATACAACAGACGGTGGTTGAGGAAAATCGGGCAGGCAAATCAAATTTAACGATCATCTCGACGAATTTTTTTTGGTAAATTTACCGTTTTCTCTTTTAATTTCCTTTCATCTCAATGTCATAATTTTTTAATTCCGGATCTGAAATTTCACGGCTTAATTCCATGTCTGTAATGTAAGCATCAAACCCAACAAACTTTCGACAAATATTTAGATAAACCGCTTTCATTTGGTGTTTCTTGAATTGGATAATGTAATCATTCGCCACTCTTTCGTGTTGTTTTGGGTGGGTTGTGGATTATGTTTATTTGCACGGATCTGCTATTTGAGTGAGAAGTTTCAATTTTTCAAGGACCCAACATTTTATTTCTTCAATTTCTATATATTAGCGATTGTATAACTTGTATTATATGTCTAATCAAATAAACCTGTGATGGGAAATTATTATTAGGGGAGGAAGTAACTAGGTTGAGCATCATTATGTTTAGATCAATCTTCTCCCGTGCAATATTTTATTTTTGGAAATTTTGCTGTAATGTGTTGATAATGTGGCAAAAATTTTGATGTTTCTAGATAACAAATGCTAAATGGAGAAATCATGCTCTTTGCCGGTACACTTTGACAAGGGCACATCGACACTTGCCAATGAGATCAAGAAGGCACTTGAAGGGAGCGATGTTCCTGCTAAAATTGATGCCTTGAAAAACGCAATTATGCTTTTGCTGAATGGTGAAACTCTACCTCAGCTCTTCGTCACCAGGCTTCTGGATACTTTTTATCAGATCCGAGCAGCTAGAGTTTGTTCCTGTGCTCTTTGAATCATATGAGAGTATTGCCTATTTCTATTAGAAGTTGAGAGTGTCATTGCAACCATAAAGCAGTGCCTTGGAGACCTACCATTTTTTCAATTTCAGAAGAAGCGGAGGTCACTAGCCCTACAAAGAAATCCCAGTAGGCAAACTTCATTATTGTTTCATCTAAAAGGCCAGCTATCCTTGCTAATGGGACATATGCAACTCAAAGTGCTGCCTCTGAAACTACCTTCTCCCCTTAAACTGTAGTTCAGGGAATAGTTTTTAGGCTTGGGATTACCCGTATCCTTTATTCATATATTTATTCAGAGTGAAATTATTGAATTAATAAAATTACTCTGCATTTTTTGTTTGATTTTGCTTCTTGTTTAAGATTACGAAGGTAATATGAAGCAATCAATGAATTCCTAGTGATAAATGAAGATTTGCTCCAAAAACATCATTTCTGGTAGCTTGATTAAGTTCGTTTTGAATTTTTGTCACTTTTTTGAGTTTTTCTCGCTTTTTTAATTTCTGTCACTTTATTGAATTAATTCCAAAATTTTGATTTGTGTTTTGTCACTTTATTGAACTAATTCTAAAGTTTTGCCACATTTTTGAATGTTTGTGACTTTTTTGAATATTTGTCTTTTTTTTATTCTATCACTTTTTGAAGTGTTTCACTTTTTCTATCTTTTTTTTGATATTTTTTGTCACTTTTTTAGTGATAAACATCATTTTTTTAATAAAAGTAACATTGTATCACTTTTTAAAAAGTAACATTGCTCGTCAATTTTATAAAAGTGACATTGTGTCACTTTTTTGGTATTTGTCACTTTTTTTGAGTTTGTCACTTTTTTGAATTTGTATCACTTTTTGACTGTGTCACTATTTAAAAAAAAAGGTAAAAAAGTGATAATTTTTATAAAAAAAAGTGACATTGTGTCATTTTTTCATTTTATACAGTATTTTTTATTTCCTAAAAAATTTTCATATGATTTTTCAAAATATCCCTAGTTTTAAGGGTATTTTTGTAAGTATCCCTAAAAAAAAATTGTTTAAAGGGAGACAAATGGGGGCTTAATAACCTTTGCCGAAGGTGCTCGGCCCAAAGGTAAAATTAGTTTAGGCTTCTAGTTGGGCCTAACCTATCTATTGTCTGAACAGGGAAGAGTTCAAAAGTAAAGTATTAATTTTACACAATTCAAAAATCAGGTTTTAAGTTTGACTAATGCAAAAATCAAGTTTTTAGTTAATTAATTAAAAATATTCATTAATTAAATATAATAAGATCATAGTTATATAATTAATGGTTACATATACATAATTATATGTCACATGTCACATATTTTAAAATTCATTGATCGCAGATTATTTCGAGCTCACAGATTAAAAATTTTGTACGTCACAGATTATTTCGAGATCACAGATTTTTAAATTAGTTAGTCACAGATTATTTCGAGGTCACTAATTTTTAAATTAGTTGGTCACAGATTATTTTTGAGTCACATATTATTAAATTTGTAGGCCACAGTTGAGTAATTGGTCACAAATTACCAAACATTTGGTCATAGACTACCGCTACTACCACTATGACCACTTTTGACCACCCTCGCCATGCCGCCACCGCTACAACAGCACCAACAAAGCCACTGACAACCACCTCCATCACCAATCACTTGCATATTACCTATTTTATATGTCACAAATGCCAAACATCTCTAACAGAAACGCGCCCCACAGACCACACAGTCACCGCCATTGCCACCGCAAACAGACCGCACCGTCGACACCTCCACCTGCAAAATCAACTATACCCAACCCACAACCTTACCAACATAACCACCGTCGCCACCGCTTGGTCATAGACTATCGCCACTACCATCGCACCGTCGACACCGCTTGGTCAAAAACATCGATATCACCTCGCCACCACCACAGCACCACTACCCGCATCACTACTACAGCACAACCATCGCCTCCAAAACAAACCAACCACATCCCACTACCACCACAACCCATCACCATTGACTCCGAATACTTGTACCTTTCCCATTTACACTCAAAGTTTGATATGTGCTAAATTTCTAGATTCTTATATTTCATAATCAAAATTTCATATATCGAAGAGAGTGAGTGAGAAATATTGTGCAAGGGAGAGAGAAAAATAAGCCCCTGTTTGGCAGGGGATTAAAATTAAAATTTTCAATAATTAATTTTAACTACATATTTTATATTTTATAGATCTTATTATTTTTCAACCACATATTTTATCAACTTTTATTAAAATATACTATTAATCTAATTTTAATTCTTACAAAATAAGGGCTAAATATAAAATGACTTTTTTTTAATCAATTTTTTGGCTGTTATAATGGTAATTGATAGTGTCAGTACTGTATTTTGAACAGTGATTTTGGAGAACGCGTGATTAAAAGGTAGGAAAAATTTCAAATTTAAGGTGTGTTTGAGCCACATTATTTTGGAAGAATGTATTTTGAAATAGTAGATTGATAGAGAAGTGTGGTTAAAAAAGAATGAAATTTTTTTGATGTGATGAAAAGTATTATTTATTGAAAAATGTGTTATTGAAAATGAGAATATAAATTTGAATGTGGTTCAAACAGGGGCTTATGCGTATAAATAATTTATTGTTTGGACGTGTGACTGAAAATTGAGTGGGAGAATTAAAAAAAAAAAGAAGAAGAAGAATACGAAATTAGGCCCAGTAAGACCTAAAATCAATGAAATCTAATAATACGTTTAATTAATAATTTATCATCTAACCACGCAATTAATACGTCCTAAACGCCCCAACCCCTATTGAAACCCACTCATCATCACTTCAAAATGGGAATATATATGGAAAGCAGGAAGATCCAGATCTCCCAGAGGCCCAAACACTAGCACTGATCATACCGAGCACATACAACAGACGGTGGTTGAGGAAAATTGGTTAGGCAAATCAAATTTAATGATCATCTCGACGAATTTTTTTGGTAAATTTACCGTTTTCTCTTTTAATTTCCTTTCATCTCAATGTCATAATTTTTTTTTATTCCGGATCTAAAATTTCACGGCTTAATTCCATGTCTGTAATGTAAGCATCAAACCCAACAAACTTTCGACAAATATTTAGATAAACCACTTTCATTTGGTGTTTCTTGAATTGGATAATGTAATCATTCGCCACTATTTCGTGTTGTTTTGGGTGGGTTTTGGATTATGTTTATTGGCACGGATCTGCTATTTGAGCGAGAAGTTTCAATTTTTCAAGGTCCCAACATTTTATTTCTTCAATTTCTATAGATTAGCGGTTGTATAACTTGTATTACATGTCTAATCAAATAAACATGTGATGGGAAATTATTATTAGGGGAAGAAGTAACTAGGTGGAGCATCATTATGTTTCGATCAATCTTCTCCCGTGCAATATTTTATTTTTGAAAATTTTGTTGTAATGTGTTGATAATGTGGCGAAAATTTTGATGTTTCTAGATAACGAATGCGAAATGGAAAAATCATGCTCTTTGCTGGTACACTTTGACAAGGGTACACCGACACTTACCAATGAGATCAAGAAGGCACTTGAAGGGAACGATGTTCCTGCTAAAATTGATGCCATGAAAAACATAATTATGCTTTTGCTGAATGGTGAAACTCTACCTCAGCTCTTCGTCACCAGGCTTCTGGATACTTTTTATCATATCGGAGCAGCTAGAGTTTGTTCCTGTGCTCTTTGGATCATATGAGAGTATTGCCCATCTCTATTAGAAGTTGAGAGTGTCATTACAACCGTAAAGCAGTGCCTTGGAGACCTACCATTTTTTCAATTTCGGAAGAAGCGGAGGTCACTAGCTCTAAAAAGAAATCCCACTAGGCAAACTCCATTACTGTTTCATCTAAAAGGCCAGCTATCCTTGCCGATGGGACATATGCAACTCAAAGTGCTGCATCTGAAACTACCTTCACCCCTCAAACTGTAGTTCAGGGATAGTTTTTAGGCTGAGGATTACCCATATCCTTTATTCATATATTTATTCAGAGTGAAGATATTGAATTAATAAAATTACTCTGCATTTATTGTTTGATTTTGCTTCTTGTTTGAGATTACGAAGGTAATATGAAGTAATCAATGAATTCATAGTGATAAATGAAGATTTGCTCCAAAAACATCATTTCTGGTAGCTTGATTGAGTTCGTTTTGAATTTTTGTCACTTTTTTGAGTTTTTCTCACTTTTTTAATTTCTGTCACTTTATTGAATTAATTCCAAATTTTTTATTAGTGTTTTGTCACTTTTTTTGTATTGTCACTTTTATGAGTTTTGTCACTTTATTGAACTAATTCTAAAGTTTTGCCACATTTTTTAATGTTAGTCACTTTTTTGAATATTTGTCCTTTTTTATTCTATCACTTTTTCTATCAATTTTTTTGATATTTTTTGTCACTTTTTGAGTGATAAACATCATTTTTTAAATAAAATTAACATTGTATCACTTTTTAAAAAGTAAATTGCTCGTCAATTTTATAAAAAGTGACATTGTGTCACTTTTTTTGAGTTTGTCACTTTTTTGAGTTTGTATCACTTTTTGAGCGTGTCACTATTTTTAAAAAAATAAAAAAGTGACAATTTTTATAAAAAAAAGTGACATTGTGTCACCTTTTCATTTTATACAGTATTTTTTTATTTCCTAAAAAATTTCCATATGATTTTTCAAAATATCCCTAATTTTAAGGGTATTTTTGTAAGTATCCCTAAAAAAAATTTTGTTTAAAGGGAGACAAATGGGGCTTAATAACCTTAGCCGAAGGTGCTCGGCCCAAAGGTAAAATTAGTTTAGGCTTCTAGTTGGGCCTAACCTATCTACTGTCTGGACAGGGAAGAGTTCAAAAGTAAGGTATTAACTTTACACAATTCAAAAACAAGGTTTTAAGTTTGACTAATGCAAAAATCAGGTTTTTAGTTAATTAATTAAAAATATTTATTAATTAAATATAATAAGATCATAATTATATAATTAATGGTCACGTATACATAATTATAAGTCACATATCACATATTTTAATATTAGTTGATCACGGATTATTTCGAGATCGCAGATTAAAAATTTTGTACGTCATAGATTATTTCGAGGTCACAGATTTTTAAATTAGTTAGTCATAGATTTTTCGAGGTCGCGAATTTTTAAATTAGTTGATCACAGATTATTTTTGAGTCACATATTATTAAATTTATAGGTCACAGATTACCAAACATTTGGTCATAGACTACCGCTACTACCACTATGACCACTTTCGACCACCCTCACCATGCCGCCACCGCCACAAAAACACCAACAAAGCCACTTACAACCACCACCACCACCAATCACTTGCATATTACCTATTTTATAAGTCATAAATGCCAAACATCTCCACCAGAAAACGCGCCCCACAGACCACACAGTCATCACCATTACCACCGCAAACAGACCGCACCGTCGACACCTCCACCTGCAAAATCAACTATACCCAACCCACAACCTCACCAACATAACCACAGCCACCGCCTACACGACCACAGCCACTAGTCCACGACCATAGCCAAACACCCCCCCCCCCCACCAAACACACTTAACAATGGACCAACCCCACAACCTCACCAAAATCGATGTCGATCCGCCATAGCCACCAACGCCATCTACCTGCACAACCAACAAAAAATACCTAAAAACTCCCGAACACCTCCAAACCACCACCACAACTCCATTCCGCCACTGCACACACACTACTGAACCCGCCATCACTGGGACGGAGACGAGAAGACGGTGGTAGCATCTTGAATGTCGAACCCACTATCACTGAAACCACCATTACCGCAAGCAGATCTTACCACCGTAGCACTTAATCACCGAACGCTCCGATCTTCTCTTCATTACAGTTGGTGGTGACGACGCACAAACCCGCAACCACCACTGTCGATTAGGTAAGGAGAACCATCGTCGCACACAGCGGTCTCCGGTCTCCTCTTCATTACAGCTTCTCTGTACCTGAGGGTGTTCGTAAGCGACGATCTCCGACGGGCAATGAATCACCGATTATTTGTTATAGAGAGAATATAGGAAGAGAAGGAAGAAGATGAAGAGAGAAAATATAAGGAAAAATTATTAGGGTTTAGAATAATTGATAAAGATATTTAATACTTAATTATTATATTGATACCTGAGTTTTGAATAAATAAACTTTACACCTTATTTTTGAAAATCAACTTTTTAAACACCCGATTTGTGTAATTTTCCAATATGGGAAAAATTACACTAAAACCTGGTTTTTTATTTTCTATTTCAATAATCAGGTACAGTGATTTTTCTTTCAAAAATTAAGTGTAACCCATCGCCATCTCCATCTCCATCTCCATCTCCATCTCCTCCCCCAAACCCACACCAAATAATTGTGACCTTCCTCTCCATTCTCTCTATCTACTGCACCAACAAACTTTGCTAGCCACCGACCAACATCGCCCACCGTTACCAAAAGCCAACCATCACTTCCATCTCACATCGGTGGATCGACGCACAAGATTTGTACTCACTTGCATTGTCTATGTTTGTCGTTGTCGCTGGGTCGTGCCTTCTGCTTGAAGCTCTGCAGCCAAATCTTGCCTTTGAAATTTGTCTCCATTGTTAAATTTGTCAATGTTGTGGTGGTGATGTGAGATCTCTAGCATCGTTGAACGCCATCAAGCATAAATGTGCGGATGGCGAGGGATCTATAACAATTAGAGTGGTGCGATCTGCAATCTCCTATGCGTTTGTGTAGGGTTGTTGGTAGTGGTGAGGAGGTGGTTGTGGCGAAGTTTGAGTGATGCTGGTGGTGGTAGAGTAGTAGGATAGGACGAAGAGCGTTTGTGAACAATTATTTGGGTAATTCATGACCAATAAATTATACGTGACATAAAAAATGTGTAATTTGCTACTAAATTTGTAATGGTGACTCCAATTTATATTTGTGATTGTAACCTTGTGCAATTTATGACTACTGTGACTGCGATCATAAATTGTGTCCTAGTGTGACATTGACCTGTTAATCAATTAATAACTCGCAAATTTGTTATCAAATGTGACCACCTAATTTAATTTATTTTTTTTCGGCAAGTTTCTTATTTTTTCAAAAGCGTATAGTTATTATGTATTTTTCCCATAATATTGGTACCAATAACTAACAATCATACAGTGAATAATGGTGGACTCAGTTTTGCTAAAGTCCATTAAAAAACCGAGGTAGAGATAGCCCACTATCCGTTAAACTGAGCTTGGGCTTTTGGCGCGATTCAAATCGACGTGGACAAATACGAACGTCCCAACTCTATGGCTTTAATTATGAACCGGCCGATTCCGAATGTTAACGTTACCAATTTCAGATTCTCCGGCGAAAAAATCCGGTAATCTGAACTTCTCGATGCAGACTATTTTTGTCAATTCACCCATACAAGCTTTCCCTAATCCAAAGCACAGATCAAGAAGATGCTTCAACACAAAGCATCCACAAAATTATGGATTGAATTTCAGTCCCGACGCTGCCGCCGCAAATCTCCGATCAATTCCAAGAAGCCGCCGCGCTGTAAGTGACTTAGCCTCAGTCACCGCAGACCCGGTTCAGGCGGAACTTACTTGGCAAATTGTGGTTGGCGCTTTAGGTAATTTTAAATAAATATAAGCATTATGAATTCTATTTTTCATTAGTAATTAAAAAAAATAAAAAGTAGGTTTAAATTTGTGCAGCTGGTGTTACGCCTTTTGTGGTGGCTGGAATTGAATTCAGTAAGAGAATTGTAAGTGAACTTTGCATTATTTCGTGAAAATTATTTAAAGTCACACTTTTATACATCATGTTTTTATTTTTATTTTTAAATATATTTAGAAGTGAATTTTTGGAATTGAAGGTGTTGTTTGTAATATGAAAACTATGGCAGGTGGCACAGAGGAAATGTAAGGTCTGTGGAGGTTCGGGACTTGTTTTGAGGGAGAAGAAGTACTACTTTCGATGCCCTGGTTGTGGTATGTTCCGTATTAACTATTAAGTGGAAATATCAAAGATTAACGCTATTCAGGCTCGTTTGGCATGACTTCTGGGAAATCAAAAGGAGCATTTGAAATCTATAGTTACTTTTGAATTCATTTTATAAAAGTACTTCTTCTAAGAAGATATCTGCCTCTAAATACTTTTATGATAAGAACTATTTTTGAAATTAGTTTTTAAACACTAATCAAGATAGTTTCTTTTGAGATCTCTTTCACAAGAAGTAAAAATCTCGTCTAACAGGCTCTCAATGCTACTGGAGCTTCACGTCAATCTAACTATTAATTACTTGATTTGACTAATCTCTCTTCATTTTATGCCTATTTTTTTAGGAACACTTGCCCACTATTTGAAAACCATTATTTTTTTTAAAAAAATTGTTTTGAATAGTAATTTATATGAAAATATATGGTTAAAATGTAAGAAATTTTTTTGAATTTACGTGTAGAATATTTTATTTTGTGAATGTGTTGTTAGAAATGAATTTGTAGAAAAAAAAGTTTCGAAAAAAATGATTGTTAAAGGCTTAATGGACAACTAAACCGATACTAAACATCAATAGGGTTGATAGACAAAAAATTTTGCTCGGTTATCACTTAAATACACAACTATAAACAAAAATTTACATAGTTGTCTTTCATCTTGTCAAATTCAACATACTGAAGACGTCAATAAAGTGACGCTCATTTCCTATATGCCTATAAAACAACTTATGTTTAGTTCATCAAGCCCAGCTTTCTTTTCATTTTTTTTTTTAATGTTTTTCAGGTGGTTTTCTACCATGGCAATCATGGAGGAGGTTCTTTACTGGTTAGAAAGTAAAAACACTCTTCTACGTATAAAAACTTGAAACAGTGAATGTAATGTGCTATATTTAAAGAATCCAAACATTATATTTACTGTCAATTATTGTATCTAAACACAGATTCTACTGTTTTGCACCTCCATATCTGAATGGTAAGGATAGTTATTTCAATTTTGATGGTGGAATAATTGTCATCATTGGCTATCGTCTGAAATGCACATAAAGTCGTATGCAAGATATTGAAGCATTAGTAATTCAATGACAAAACAACTGAAAAAAAACGTTTAATTCTATATAATATATATTTTCTAAAAACTTAGTTTACAATTTTACGGGCCCATAACTACTCTTCCAATATTTTGAGGACATTGGTTAGAAGGGCGTATAGGCTGAGTCTGAAAGTTATGAGCTTCAACACCATTTTCTCTATTTCCAAACAGATTCAAGCCACCACCATTTACAATACCATAGCATGCTGGAATTTGTACATTAGTTCTATTCTCGCGGTTAATTCCGACCCCGAGATTGAGGCTAATCGAACTGTTATCTGGCCTGGGTCTAGAGGTTCCACTAACCTGTGAGTGTCCTGAAAATTCATAGCTGCTGGTCTTGGCAGTCGGAACGTCATGATTGTTTTTACCCTCGTATGTAGTTATAACAGCTTTTGGGTCATGGGATGCCCTTTCGACGTGTTTCCTTACTGGGCAACCAGCACTTTGTGCACTTGTAATAACTCCTGCACGGTAAGTTGAAGTATAAGAAATATTGCATTTCAGTGCTACAACATGGATTGCAGGTTTGATTGCATGTACATGTACTGTTGAAGAGAATAAATTTAAGCAAAGCTGTTCCTATTAAGACTGCAGGTTAACATGCGAATTAACTAAGAAGGCTTTGCATGGTTATCAGCAACAGGTTGATGCAATGAAAAAGGCATCCAAATGGTTGTATTAATTCCTATAAGCTCAACTTTATTCTTAAAGTTTCATTTAGGGAAAAAAAAAAGCAACTGTTGTGAAAGTTGCAGCAGTGAATGGAGTGTGGGATATTGCCATGTTGATGCTGTCTCAACGATGATATGTGCAAAGCAAAGGCTCAAGGATCTGAAATCCTAATAACCCCATTAGACAATTTGGAGTAAGAATGAAAAGAACTCGGATCATTATACTGCTTCCCTTGAATGAAAATCCTGATTATGCTTGTATCAGTTCAAATACATTGCAGATTTGCTAAAAAGGGACTAAGATGGAGGGGCACTAGATTTGTTCAACATGGAGGCAATGGAAGATCCAAAGCTCTATCGAAGTACTACAATAAGGATCCCTGAAAGTACCTATTAATGTCTAGACTAGATATTTCATATGCAGTAAGCAAGTTGAGTCAATTCTAGGGGCGAAAGATAACTAATGAATAACACGACACACAGAATCTCCTTTATGCAAAGAAGAATTTAAGCCTAAATGGATTAGCAGGTGGAGAATGGGTAAGCTGTCCAGATGATCGGAGATCAACAAGAGTTTCCTATGCATTTCTAGGCAATTGTTTGGTGTCTGGTGCTCTAACAAAACGTTGTGGCACCCTCAAGCACAGAATCCAAGTACAGGGTCCTAGCTTGCTGCAGAAATAGTATTCTTGAAGTCTTTACTAACAGAACTTGGAATTAGGTTGCCTTACCGACCTATAATCAGTTGTGACAACTTAGGAGAAACTTTGAGATGCATTTCACATATGATATGTTTCTCAATAAACAGATGTTCCAACTTATGATCAAACTGCAGATGAATTAACTAACTAAAAGCCTATTAGTTGGTTGTTTGCCTCAAATGGCTTTTTTTTTTTCCAAAATACCCTTGGGTGAGGCAAATGATTTGACCGACGAGGATTATTAACTATAATTTTTACGACAAAATTGCAAAAACTACATAAATTACCCACATTTTCAAAATTTACCTAAAATTCTGTATCAAGTCAGGAGCATTCAGTTGTGTATGAAGGGAGTACCAGTTTAATGTGATACACTGGCTATTGATACAAACACGAAGGAAAGAAAAATGAATAATAAATAGTTCTTATTTTCTTTTTATTTTCGGGATTACCATTTCATTCTCTAATATACAGCAACTTGACTTTAGTTTGTTTTGTTACTTCCCTAGTCCTTTTTTTCTATTGTTCAGGGCACCTTTTTTCATGGAAAGCACACTGTGAGAGTAAAACCTGTTACAAATGAGGGCTAAAACCTCATTTCTGTCCTAACCCTTTTCTACAACTATTCCCATGATATTGATTTGTTAATTTTAGGAGGGTATCTGCGAAAATTCCCATAAATACACGATACCAATGGTAATTAAGTGAATTGTCTGTCTTAGTCAACTAGCTAGGTCAGCAATTAAAACTTTAAACAAATCCAAAACAAAAGCATCGGCATTTTATCTCAAAACAAATGGTCTAGCATGTCATTTTCACACGCCTGGGATTGAAAATGGTTTGGCTTCGACCTGATAAGCCCTTGTATGGATCGAAATATTCTCCTAAACAATGACCAGAGCTGGACCTGAGGGGAGGCCCAAGAGGCCACCGCCTCAGGCCCAGAATGTTTTAGGGCCATTTTTTTTTGGTTTTTTAATAAAATTAACCTAAAGCAGTAAAAGTGTGAAACAACTTCAACAGTTCCAACTCCCAAGTCTCCAGTCCGCCTCAACTGCGCCGTTTCGTCCACTGCTCCGCCTGAGTTTCCTCCGTCCGCTGTGGGCATTATTCTGCTGTGCATTATTCTTGGCATTGCAGGCTGCAGCATCAAAAACTCCATCTATTAAAGGTTCTAATAGTTAAAATTTCAACTAAAGATTATTTTCTGCTCCATCTATTAAAGTTCTAATAGATAAAATTTCAACTAAAGATTTTTTTCTACTAGCAGTAGTATTAACATTCATCAGTCTTTAATTGTTTATCATTGAAATTAGATGTTTAATGTTTTAATGCTCGTTTGGGCAAAGATATACCTGAGAGTAAAAAAGAATTTTTTTTTCTCTTATCCCGCTCCCGGTGATATGAAATTGATTAATTTGAGGCATTATTTACAGGGCAGAACAGGCTGGGAAGAGGGCAGCAGGACAAAGTGCATCAATTCCTTTCAATTACGGGCTCCAGGTAACATATAATGGCTTAATATTGGTTCTTGTTGTTGAGTATAAAGGTTTTCTCTTGATCTGCACTCCTTTTTGGATGATTTACTGTGTCAATTTATATAGCTTTTAACTTTAAGTTTCCTAATCTTTCATTGCTTCAAAAAAACCGTGAAATTGTAGCTGGTTGAAACATTATTTTTCTCCTTTAAATGGATATTGGATAATGGATGGATGGATGGATTCTGTATATATTAGACTATTAGTTATGGGATTTTATAAATTGAATCTGTGATAGTGTGATTGAATATGTATTATTACTTATCTGGATTTGGCATAATTAAGTGTGAATTTAAACTGGGGTTTTGTAAATCTACATTCGCTCCACAGTTACGTTTCTGAGAAGTAATTTTAAAAAAAGGGTCTAACTTGGGGATTAAAATTACAAAAGGAAGGTGTTATTTTGAAGATCTTGTTTCTGGGTTTTGAATCGTAGAGAAAGATTTGATTTTGGTATTTCTTTTTGAATTTAATTTATAGGTGCTCGGCGCAGCTGACATGCTATACTGGAATCAACTACACCAATGCAGAATTTGCATTGGCAATGCTTAATCTCATTCCAGGATTTACTTTTATACTTGCCATCATTTTCGGGTTCTTATTCTCCTCTCACTTTTTGGCTTCTGTTGATTTTGGTTGAATTTGCTAATTAGCTTGATTCGAGACTCCTTTTTGCTGATCATAACTAAAACTCAATATTTTTCCATTTCACATAACCCCATCTATTTGTGTTTAATGAGTTACTTGAATTTGTTCTCTATTTCTCTCATGTTTCTTGCCTCAGTCATTTGATTATCATTAGTTTCTATGTGGTTTAAAAGACTTCATTTCTTATACCTTTGAAAGAGTTTGCTTTAGCAAATGGAAGGGTGAAAAGGGGCTTAGTGGATGAATAAGGCTTACCTTCTCTTATGTTGGATGTGTGTTTTCTTAGAGAACTTAATATTGATATGTTAAATTATGTGTGTCAATAGAACTTTCTATATGGCCAGTCGCTATTTTCTTTTCAGATATTTCATTTGGATTACTTTTCCTTTTCTTAGGGAGTTTTTGGCTCTGCATTCCAAGTCAGTGTAACTGCATGGTGTTTGCATAGAAGGGGCCCTCTTTTTGTTGCCGTGTTTCATCCATTGAGCATTGTCATTTCAGTTGCATTGGGTATTATCTTACTGGGAGACATTCTGTATCTTGGAAGGTAAGGAGCATGATTTTTGTGGAAGACATAATTCGAATAAATAAAGGTTATCAACTTAAGCTTATAGTCTATAGATAAGATGGTTCAACATAACATCTATCACAGTAGACAGAGATCTTAAGTTCAAGTCTACTCATGACCCATTGTTGCTTTATTGTTGACTTTAAGTTAACAAATTTAGTTCTATAAGACTTTTTTAAAAGAAAAAGTGGATTGTCTGTTATGACTCAAGGGCCCAAAGTTTGAAGTTAGCCTCAGGCCCCGCGAAACACAGGTACGGCCCTGACAATGACACCAAAAGTTTGACAAAACAATGTTGTCAGATGGTTTTAAAATCAATGAATGTGACAAGTGTGTATACGTCAAACATACACCAAAGGCCTATGTGATTGTATGTCTATATGTAGACGACATGTTGATAATAGGCAATAGTCACGAAATGTTGCTAAACACCAAGAAGATACTTACAAAGCATTTCGACGTGAAAGACATGGGTGTGAAAGATGTAATACTAGGGATAAAGATCTCTAGAACATCGGAAGGAACTGTACCTTCCCAATCTCACTACGTTGAGAAGATAATTAAGAAATTTAATGTATTTGAGGAAAGTCCTGCGAAAACCCTTATTGACCTAAATATACATTTAGCCCCTGTTTGATTCCGATTCTCATTCTTCTACTATTTTCANCCTGTTTGATTCCGATTCTCATTCTTCTACTATTTTCAACCACACATTCTTCAATAAAATAATATTTTCTATCAAATCAATAATTTTTCCTTCTTTTTCAACCACACATTTCCTATCATAAAATACATTCTTTCCCCAAAAATCTATTATCAAACACACCCTTAGTCAAGAATACGTGGGAATGCGTGTCACAACTAAAGTATTCACAAGTGATTGGCAGTATAATGCATATTACAAACTGCACTCGATCAGACATTGCATATGCTGTGAATAAACTTAGTAGATTCATGAGTAATCCAAGCTATGATCATTGGGAGGCTCTGTTAAGGGTTCTTAGGTATTTAAAGTACACCTTAACCTATGGATTACATTTCACAAATTATCCCGCGGTATTGGAATGATATTGTGATGCGAATTGGATATCCGACATAAATGATTCCAAATCCACTAGTGGTTATGTATTTACACTAGGTGGAGCTGCTATCTTAAGGAAATCGACAAAGCAAACATGTATAGCTCAATCAACGATGAAATCTAAGTTTATTGCTTTGGATAAAGTAGGAGAAGAAGTAGAATGGCTTCATAACTTCCTAGAAGACGTTCTGTGTTGGCCTAAGCCGGTACCAGCAATAAGTGTACATTGTGATAGTATGTCAGCTATTAGAATGGCTAAGAGCAGTATGTATAATGGTAAGTCTAGACATATACGTCGTAGACACAACACCATTAAACAACTGATCTCAAATGACATTATCTCCATAAATTATGTGAAATCAAAGGAGAACGTTGCAGATCCATTTACGAAAGGCTTGCCTAGAGATCAATTACGTTGCCTATCAAGAGGAATGAGATTAAAACCTACTACGTTAGAGTCTTTGTGATGGTAACCCTACCTTGTTGACTGGAGATCCCAAGATCTTGGTTCAAGGAGACAACTAAGTTATGAGGATTCCACTAAGCACTTAGGAATTTATTTCCTAACCTATTCTTATGATATGAAAGTGCTGTCTGCAGAATGTTCGAGGTTAAGATACTCTTTTAATGATACCTGTTTGATTCCGATTCTCATTCTCATTCTTCTACTATTTTCAACCACACATTCTTCAATAAAATAATATTTTCTATCAAATCAATAATTTTTCTTTCTTTTTCAACCACACATTTCCTATCATAAAATACACTTTCCCCAAAAATCTATTATCAAACACACCCTTAGTCAAGAATACGGGGGAGTGCGTGTCACAACTAAAGTATTCACAAGTGATTGGCAGTATAATGTATATTACAAACTGCACTCGATCAGACATTGCATATGCTGTGAATAAACTTAGTAGATTCATGATCCAAGCTATGATCATTGGGAGGCTCTGTTAAGGGTTCTTAGGTATTTGAAGTACACCTTCACCTATGGATTACATTTCACAAATTATCCCGCGGTATTGGAATGATATTGTGATGCGAATTGGATATCCGACATAAATGATTCCAAATCCACTAGTGGTTATGTATTTACACTAGGTGGAGTTGCTATCTTAAGGAAATCGACAAAGCAAACATGTATAGCTCAATCAACGATGAAATCTAAGTTTATTGCTTTGGATAAAGTAGGAGAAGAAGTAGAATGGCTTCATAACTTACTAGAAGACGTTCTGTGTTGGCCTAAGCCGGTACCTGCAATAATTGTACATTGTGATAGTATGTCAGCTATTGGAATGGCTAAGAGCAGTATGTATAATGGTAAGTCTAGACATATACGTCGTAGACACAACACCATTAAACAACTAATCTCAAATGACATTATCTCCATAAATTATGTGAAATCAAAGGAGAACGTTGCAGATCCATTTACGAAAGGCTTGCCTAGAGATCAATTACTTTGCCTATCGAGAGGAATGAGATTAAAACCTACTACGTTAGAGTCCTTGTGATGGTAACCCTACCTTGTTGACTGGAGATCCCAAGATTTTGGTTCAAGGAGACAACTAAGTTATGAGGATTCCACTAAGCACTTAGGAATTTATTTCCTAACCTATTCTTATGATATGAAAGTGCTTTCTGCAGAATGTTTGAGGTTAAGATACTCTTTTAATGATTCATATATCTTGATTAAGTCAAGTAGAGTAGGGCAAAATGCTCCTTATAGGAAGTCACCTATGTAAGTGTAAAGTGGGGTCGCTTCAATGAGAATTTTCGAGGTTTGAATTCTCTTAACACTTATGAAACCAAGACGGGTTCAGGGGCAAAATAAACCAAATCGTAAGAATGATTAGTGGATTAGGGAAGACGTCTGTGTGAGTACTTTATTTTGGATCACACTAAAGGTTCAATGGTTCAAGATACCGCTAATATTTCACTGAGGAAGGTTCAAAGTCAGAAGCTACCTAGTCTGATGCATTGTTTTTCCGCTCTCTCTCTACAGTGCATCAAAATTTTTGCATAGCATTGCATATGCACGTTCGAATTTCAATTCACGTGGGGGATTGTTGAAAATTGGTTTAATAATCGAGAAAATTGGTTAAGTCGAAAACCAAAGTTGATAAATGTCACTTCATGTCAACTTTAGCCAAATATATGATTCAGTATTCAATCACATTACTCTAGTTGCCACAAATATGTTTTTTACCCAAGAACAAGGAAAGCAAACACACACTTTATGTACAATAAGTAAATTACGTCAAATTATAACTCTTATGAAGATTACATCACTATTCCATAGAGCAAAAAGTTGTTGTGCATGTGGCTCATATAGAGCGGAATGCAAATTTACTGGATCAAATTGACCAATGTGGAGCAGAGCGCATCGTTAGTCTACAATTTTACATTAAAACATAAATAGTATCGTTAAAAATATTACAACAAAATTTCTATAATTCTAATCATTATAGTGTCATGGCATGATAAAAACATTTTAACCTTTTAGTTGATAGTAATTGGCGCAACATCTATGGTTGTAACACATGATTCATTCTCTTCATAAAGTAACTAATAAAAGAAAATGAATAGAAATATCAAATACGATAATGCTTTCTATAATTTTTTTTTCTAAATCATCTAATACTTCTATATCATCCAAATATTGATGAATCACTATAAGTTTATTGTTACCATGCAACCAATTTTTAGGGAATATCACTGCCTAAAACATATTTGCACTCATTGAACTCCTAAAAGAATCAAGAATCCAACGACTAGTAAGGAATGCAAACTCATAAACAATTGTGGATATTGAATAGCTAACAAATTATTAGAAATTTGGACAACAATCTTATATTTATTTGCATTCAATTTTCATCAAAGTAATATGTCGAAAAGGCTATTTGGTCAAATCTTCAAAACGATAATTTAAATAATCTAACAAATTATTCAAGCAATTAACAGTAAAAATTAAAAATTAAGTTAAAATGTAAATAATTAATTGAATGACATGACCAATGATTCGAGATTTTAGGGGACCCGGCACAGATTAAAACAAAAAACACAACTAAAATATAGCAAGCAATTACCCAAAAAGGGTAAAATAACCTGAATATTTGACCAAAAATTAAGAAATTTATTGGTAGAAGGAAAAGAAATGATTGAGTTTGAATTAAAATCTAAATTTAATTGTCTACTCAATTATAATGGACGATCGATAAATAATTAAATATGATTAACGGTAGTTGTTCTAAAACCACCCAATTTAAGAATATTTGGGGTATGATTTAGTTAATTAATTGGGACGGATAATTTTCTAATGAGGTATTGAGTTTAATTGATTATGTCTAATGTGGATGTATATTTTTAATTGGGAAGTGTTTAATTTAAATTGGGCTAAATAAAATTTCAATTAAATTATTTTTAGATTTTTTTTCCTTTTTTTAAAAGATTAAACAGTTTGAAATTGTTTACAAATATTGAAATCTAAACTAAACCAATTCAAAGCGGTTTGGTTCGGTTCAAAATCAAATCGTTGACGGATCCATGTAGACCCAAACCAACGATTTCAAAAAAGACGATTTCGATTCGATTTTGCAGTTTGAAGTTTTCATTGTTCATCCCTTGTACAAAGAGGGAAGTATTAATAACAAGGGAGAAATATGATTATGATATTCCTAGGGATGACAAAAAAAAAAAAAAAACTCATTCAACATAATACCATTGGACCGTGCCTCGAATAGGGCAGTAAACGGGACGGGTACGAGAAACATAGTCTTCTGGCAGTATTCTTTGGTTTAAATTAATTTCAAATTTAAGTTTTTTTATAAAATAAAATATTTATCATCATTTTTAAAGAGGGCGTAAGTTATTCTTAACATATTAGAAAAAATAATAATATTTACTAGCTAGACTTAAAAAAAAAAGTAAAATAAATAAAAAACAAAAAAAAATAAGCAGGAGCAATAAATGAGGCGGGGGACCTGCCCCGTCCCGCCCCCTAACTTCTTTTTTTCCCGCCTACAGTTTGGCATTAGAGATTTGAATCAGCTACTAGTTTTCTTGCCCTTTTCCCTTTTTCTACACTACACTTGGATTGAGGTAGCGCGGCATTTGAATGGTGCTGGAAGTGGAGGTAATGGTGGACTTGTGAAGGTTTGTGGCGTTGACCATTTGACTGATGTTAGTGGTTGTTGAGTAGAGTAGTAGGGTGGGATGAAGAGTGTTTGCGATCAATTATTTAGGTAATTCGTATTCAATAAATAATATATGATATAAAAAATGTGTAATTTGAGATTGAATTTTTAATTGTGACTCACAATTTATTTTTGTGATGTAATCTTGTGTGATTTGTGACTGATACGTTATTATGATCATAAATTGTGTCTTAGTGTGATATTGACCTGTTTAATTAATTAATGAATCACAAAATTATTATCAAGTTTGATCACCTGATTTTTGAAACTTTTTTACAAGTTTCTTATTTTTGTAACTTGTAAGTGTGTAGTTATATATTTTTCCATAATAATATTACTACCAACAAGCATATAGTGAATAATGGGCCTTGTTTTGCTTAAGTCCATTAAAAAGCAGAGGTAAAGACAGCCCACTATCCCGTTAAAGTGGGCTTGGGCTTTTGTAGTTTCAAATCGACGTGGAAAAATATTAAACATCCCGACTCTTGGCTTTAAATTAAACTAATTATGAACCGACCGATTCCGAATCTTAACGTTACCATCAGATTGAATAATTCCTCAAAATTATTTTTTACAGATTTTATACAGACGAGCCGGCTTCCTTTATCTCTCTCCTCCTCCTCTCTCTCTCTCTCTCTCTCTCTCTCATCACTCTCAATTCTCTTCGAATAATTCCTCAAGTACAAATTATTTTTTTCAGATTTTATACAGAAATTCAAAAATTGTCCCACGTGATAGTTGTGTTACAAACCGGGTTGCTATTTGAGAGACCATAACCGGGTCTGTTACAAAAGTCCCTTAATTGTTGAAAATTAAACTCTCTCTCACACACTAAGGAACGGGAGAAAAAGAGATCAAGAAAGGGAATATTTAATCAGATTGGGTTATTTTCTTTTAATCAGATTATTTTACGGTCTGAATGTTAATCTTGATGTATAACTTCTGTAAATCCTTTTATGTGTATTTTCTTGATGAACCCGAGATTGTTTTGAATTTTTCTTCATGTATTTTTTTAGTCTTGTTAAATTCATTCAAGAGATTATTATATATTCTGAATTAATTTTGATTTGAAACTTTCCTGAACCCCTTTTATGTGTATTTTAGTGACGAACCCATTATTATTTGGAAGTTATCGTCACTTATTTCTTCAGTTCAATTCTTGGCTTCTGTTGAATTAATTCAGTCTCTTAATCAGAATTTAATCTTGCGTTGAAACTCTCTTGAACATGTGTATGTGTATTTTCTCGATGAACCTGTAATTGTTTCGAATTTCTCTTCATGAATTTTTTCAGTTCCATTCGGGTTTTCTCTTAAATTGATTCAGAGATTAGTCTTTAATTAAACAAGCGGAAATGGATCTTAAATTCGAGAGGGACATAAAGGAAGGCCAACTCAGCCACACAGATGAAGAAAATCTCTCTCAGTTCTTCGATTGAAGCGATTAAGGAGAATATGAAAGAGATAACCAATCTCTTTATTGATCTTCAAAGTTTGAACGAATAAACGAAACAACTCATAGTACCAAAATTCTTCGCGGTTTAATGGATCGTATGGATTCAGACAGCTTGGATCCGGGAGAGCTATTTGGGAGGGAAAAGGAAGACGTGAAATCACGTTATTTCCAAGGCTTTTTTCATTTTTAGGCCAGCCTCCGGTTTTAGTCTCCTAAAAAACAAATAATAATAATAAATAAAAATAAAAATCTTAAGGTCACTAAAATTAGAAGTCCCTATTTCAGATTCTCAAGGTGTTCACACACGTCTTTTCTAGATATGACGGATGATTTTTTTGTTATGAATTGAATTTCAATTCGCAACCTCAAGTTTTCAACAAATCAACTATGAAATTCTCTTAGCTGAATGAGCTGAAATTGTAACCAAATTAAAGGAAATAGAATGGGGAAGGGAGTAAATGAGGAAATCAATAAGAGAGGGGAGGGTAAAATGACAAAACAGAGAGAATTGAGAGAATGAATTTTAAATTCACTACACTATATTCATTGCAGAGAAATTACAGATTGAAAAAGAAAAACGGATTTGGAGATAGACAGGAAAAAGTGGGAAAGGGGGAGGGGGGGGGTTTCAGGGGTTGGGCAAGATTTATATAAGTATTTAAAGAATCATGGAAATGCTTCAAATGTACCTATAATCTAGTGAACGACAATCACAACTCCTACATAAGTATTAAGTAATAACAGTAAAGAGATATTCGCAGAAAGCGAACCTACGTGAATGAAGTATCTTTTGTTATATCTAAATATAAAGTTGCATGACCAAACTAATCTACTTCTACCAAAAACTTACAAGTGAGTGAAGATCTTTAACAGAATTCTGGATGGGTGTGCCACTCAAAGCCCATTTATATGAAGATTGTAAATTGAAAATAGCTTTGGTTGTGTTACTACGATCGTTCTTTATATAATGAGCCTGTGTAGGATAGGATAATATAGTCAATCAGATGGTTCACTAGCGTAGGTAATTCACAAGTATCCTAATAGATAGTATGCAATCACTATATCGTCTTTTTCTATATGTCCATGGCTTACTTCATCTAAAATGATACGATCCCACAGTACAAAATGCAATATCGAACAATCATGTCTCTTTTCCTTCTTGCCAGATGTTTTGGGTGTGATCAAATACCTGTAATCAGCCTCGAGAGTCGTATATGTGGTAATAACAAAATCATAGTCAGAAAATTGATAAACTTTCTTTTTTCTGCCGGTTCCCTCATAGAGAAGCACCCTCGTGCTTCCTTCCGAAGTGCAACTATTGATCTTATCCACCCACTGTTTACAAATCGCCAAGGGACATATAACAAGAGTGCTGCTAATCATTGGACAAACTTTGGGCAATGTGGTTGAAGATTACTGTAATTCATGCCTACGAATCGCTTGTTTATTAAGAACAAGAGCTATTACCCGAACAATTTTTCCCATCCCCATTTCATCTGCAAGAATGCCTCCTCAATGAACACTTTCTTCTTGCTTTAGAGACTAGACTAACCACTCTTTTTGAAACCTCAGTAGGGGAACTATCAAATCTGGTGAAGGCTCAATAATTTCGCTAATCCTATCATTATGATTATTCAAATCAAAATCTTTTTCCGAATTTTCTGCTATCCACTTATTTGCTAAAGATTCCCATTCTTGCCACAGTAGTCTCTTCATTATTAAGAAATTTAGGGTTTCTTCTTCCAAACTGTAGGGGGGAAAAAGAAGTAGGGGAAAAAACAAGTTGGGGGCGGGAAAGATTTGAATAATCATAATGATAGGATTAGCGAAATTATTGAACTTTCACCAGATTTGATAGTTCCCGTACCGAGGTTCCAGAAAGAGTGGTTAGCTTGGTCTCTAAAGCAAGAAGAAAGTGTGCATTGAGGAGCCATTCTTGCAGATGAAATGGGGATGGGAAAAAATGTCTAGGCAATAGCTCTTGTTCTTAAGAAACGAGCGATTCGTAGACATGAATTACAGTCATCTTCAACCACATTGCCCAATGTTTGTCTAATGATTAGCAGCACTCTTGTTATATGTCCCTTGGCGGTTTGTAAACAGTGGGTAGATGAGATCAATAGTTGCATTTCGGAAGGAAGCACGAGGGTGCTTCTCTATGAGGGAACCGGCAGAAAAAAGAAAGTTTATCAATTTTCGGACTATCATTTTGTTATTACCGCATATACGACTCTCGAGGCTAATTACAGGTATTTGATCACACCCAAAACATCTGGCAAGAAGGAAAAGGGACTTGATCGTTCGATATTGCATTCTGTACTGTGGGATCGTATCGTTTTAGATGAGGTAAGCCATGGACATATAATAGAAAAAGATGATATAGTGATTGCATACTATTTATTAGGATACTTGTGAATTACTTGCGCTAGTGAACCATCTGATTGACTGTATTATCCTATCCTACACAGGCTCATTATATAAAGAACGATCGCAGTAATACGGCCAAAGCTGTTTTCGATTTACAATCTTCATATAAATGGGCTTTGAGTTTCACACTCATCCAGAATTCTGTTAAAGATCTTCACTCACTTGTAAGTTTTTGTGGAAGTACATTAGTTTGATCATGCATCTTTATATTTAGATATAACAAAAGATACTTCATTCACGGATATCTCTTTACTGTTATTACTTATGCAGGAGTTGTGATTGCAGTTCACTAGATTATAGGTACGCTTGAAACATTTCCATGATTCTTTAAATGCTTATATAAATCTTGCCTAACCCCCTCCCCCACTTTTTTATGTCTATCTCCAAATCCGTTCTTCTTATTCAATCTGTAATTTCTCTGCAATGAACATAGTGGAATGAATTTAAAATTCATTCTCTCTATTTTGTTATTTTACCCTCCCCTCTCTTATTGATTTCCTCATTTACTCCCTTCCCCATTCTATTTCCTTTAATTTAGTTACAATTTCAGCTCATTCAGCTAAAAGAATTTCATAGTTGATTTGTTGAAAACTTGAGGTTGCGAATTGAAATTCAATTCATAACAAAGAAATCCTCTGTCCTATCTAGAAAAGACGCATGTGAACACCTTGAGAACCTGAAATAGGGACTTCTAATTTTAGTAACCTTAAAGATTTTTATTTGATTTTTAGCTTCTTCCATGTCCTAGTATATTTCAACAATGATGTATTTCTGAACCTTCTGCTTAAGTACAGTGTCCCGACAAAATGTTCATACTGCCCCATATATTTCTGCACTTTAGCTGGTGGAACAAAGTGAGTTGCTAATTCTATAGTTGTTACTCTTTCGTTTTCCAGTTATTTTCTAGTGGAGATAATGAGGCTGTGATGTCTTCTTTTATTTTTTTCTCAGTATATTTCTACACCAATATACAAACATGGAAATACTGGGATCGGTAGGGATTCTATGATTTTGTTGAAACACAAAATTTTGAAGCCCGTAATGTTTAGACCTACCAAAGAAGGCAGGTCAGCTGAATTGCGAATTCATCCTCAAACTGTATGTTTTTTAAGGCTTTAAAATTGAAGTTTAACCGTCAATCTGTTCAAAAGTCTATTCTACTTAGTTGATTTCTTAATTGTATTTCAGGTTATTGAAAGATGGCTAACACTGGATGAAACTGAAGAAGGTTATTATAAAATGGGAGGAGTACTGCGTGGCACTGTTAAATATGTATGTCATCTATTATTCACCTTTGTTCTGGATTTACTACATCATAACTACAACTAATTGTTTCACCTTATCTAGAAGTTTATCTTTTGAACTATCATTTCTAGTTTTCTTGTATGGTTGTGATAGGATTTTCATCTTTTATTTGATTAGGATTATAGTTTTAATTAGTTTCAATTTCCTAATAGTATTAGTTGTAGGAAATAATCTCGCTTATAAATATAGAGGGATTGTACACTTTTTCGTTACATCAATTATTATACAATAAACACAAAGCAAGTTATTTCAATATATTTCTTATTACAAGAATTATTAACGCTTCCGCATCAGTTCTTCTACCCACAATACGATGGTTAATTTCTTTTACCTTCAACTATATCTTATTAATTATCAATCTCAGGTTTGCAGTTCTCTCTACTGTTATGACTCATTGAAAGTACTCAACT